CATTTTTAGCAGCTTTGTTTTTCCTTGAAGAGGTTTCGCTTCTCATCCAAGAAGCTTCTTCAGTTCTTCAGAAGGCCACAGGACTTTGTTTTCCCTTGAAGAGGTTTCGCTTCTCATCCAAGAAGCTTCTTCAGTTCTTCAGAAGGCAACTGGACTTTGTTTTCCCTTGAAGAGGTTTCGCTTCTCATCCAAGAAGCTTCTTCAGTTCTGCAGAAGGGCAACTGAACTATGTTTTTCCTTGAAGAGGTTTTGCTTCTCATCCAATAAGCTTCTTCAGTTCTTAGATAAGAAGCCAAACCTCTTCAAGGAAAAGCAAAGTCCAGTTGCTTTAGAAAAAAAGCACCTTTGGGACAAGGTGCTTTATCAGTGTCTGTTTGGAATCGGAGCAAGGACAGGATTGACAAAAACGACACACCCTGTAGAAGAAAATGCCCGTCTTCATTGCATTTTCGCATTTTGCCACGTTTTGCACACATAAAACTGGAGCAAATTCACAATCGGCTCTTGCAAACCCAAATCTGTGGTGTACGGGAGAAATAAACCTCTTATTTTTTTTCGTGCTCATCGCCCTCTGAGCTATTTCAAGGGTTACATTTTTTATCTTTTTATGCAAGTTGTCTTTTTTTAGCTGCACCACCAAAGAAAATTGGAAACGTTAAAAGTCTTAAATAATAGATTGGTTTCTTGTTTGATTGCTGCAGGGAGGGTAGAGTTTTACGTCCTGTATTTAAAAACAAATTCCCGATTCCCAGGATAGTATAGGTTAGTCCTCTGACTTATGACCACATTTAAAGTTTTTTTTAATTTTAGAACAAACATACCATCAATGTTAAACAGTGTGTCCTCTGGGTACAAATATTTTGTGCAATAACAATTAAACTTACAGCCATATTCATTACTTTATCTATTCTTAAGTTAATACTAATACATAACATACTATTATAACAATCCCCTTCTTTGCTTATCTGTCTTTATTAATACAATTTCCCTATTTCACCCTTCTGCTTCCATTTCTGATTTTCATATTTTTTCGCTAACCGTTGATAAAATAACTCCCGTATACTATAATAGTCAGATTGTTCCTTTTCTTTAATTGCAAGTGTTAATCTATTCATTTCTGCATATTTTAATATTTTGTTAATCACGTTCTTATCTATAGGGATCTCTTCACTTTTCCAATTTGGTGCAAGTATAATTCTAGCTGCTGTTATTACATGTTTAATCAAATATACTTGTTCTTTGCTATAAATTTCTGGTAAGATCCCCGACAAGAATAAATGTGGTTTGAAGTCAATATGTTGTATATCATCTTCTCCAACCACATATGAATTTTTATCCAACATTTTTTAGCTTCTACTCATGTCCACCACATATGATAATATGATCCCCGGTATCTGGAATTCAGCCCAAAATTTCTGCCGCTAATCGAGACAGCTGTTAAGTGAATTTCATCCCATTTTACGGCCTTTCCCGCCACAGTTCTTAAGTTGAACCACTGCAGTTGTTAAGCTAGCAACGCTGTTGTAAGTCAAGGACTCCCTATACCTCATAAGGCTAGTGCCATTTTGCTTGTATTTTGGAAAGCATGGGAGAGCTTACACACCATTTGTCTATCACACTTGGCCAAGAAAGAATTCTATTTCAGATTTTTTAATTT